GTGCAAACTATATTCTCTTTTGAATGCTTAGCAAGGTTTAGCAAGGCTGTACATAAATAATAAATGGTGAAATAAAGAAATGACGGGATCTCCATAATATGGCACTATATTCAACTTTTAACAAAACGATAATACATTTAAATTTGGAACTGTTACAGCAATTTTAATTATGAGCATTAGCAAACTTCTTACTGTTATTGTTATGCAAATTAGCAATTATCTCAGCTTCTTTTTAGTGCACATCCCAGAACTTTGAAAAAAAAATTGCTCCTAGACGCTTTGACCTTTTGTTTTGAAATTTTCACAAATGATTGACAATGTGTTTATCTTCAATTATCACTCTCTCTAGATCACATTGGTAATGTTATACACATCTTGAAAGAGATCTAAAAATGTTACACCCACTTCACATGATTTAGCATTAGAATGCCTGTATTTCTTGACTTCACAGAATCTCAGTGAACATCTGTTAAATGGCAACAGTGTGATTGTCTGTAAATTCATTATGCCTTTCATTGGCTAGTATTGTTTACATGACTTAGAAATCACATGATGAAAATATACATTTACGGACATGAATGCATGAACATATTGACATGATTTGGAAATGTTCATTGCACATAATGAGACAAATTAATTAATTGTTTGCAGCTAATAAGAGATCATTAAGTTACGTTTAAAAAATCTTTGTTTGTGGAATGGGTACTTGTGAAAAGATTCCCTTGGCTACAGATGATCTTGATGTGTCTCCATCATTGTATTCACCCAATGTCTCGGTAACCATCTGTGGATTAAATGAAGACCAAACACATACATGTTGATCATAATAAGCCTTCAGAATGCATGTAGATCATAATAAGCCTTCAGAATGCATGTAGATCATAATAAGCCTTCAGAATGCATGTAGATCATAATAAGCCTTCAGAATGCATGTAGATCATAATAAGCCTTCAGAATGCACTATTAAGGTTAAAAACTGTTGTTTTTGAACTATGCATATGTTTGCTACTTTGAAGTATTCCAGAAGATTTTTAATTGTGAATAGTGTTTCAACAGATTTCAACAAGTTTTGATGTCAATTAATAAAGGAAAATGTAGTTCTCCTACCCCATGCTAAATTTGCAGTGAATTTGTTTAGACCCAGTAGTTGCTTGTAAAATTTTAAGTGATTTTTTTCTGTTGGAGTTTTATCCCATTTGACATTAGTGAGAATTTCAAAACGACAAATATCTGAACTGTACAAATGTATATTAGGATAAGCATTATTTAGAGTTGTATATATAGGTTTTACATTTAGTTTCTCTTGGCATAGATTGCTTTTAGTTTATATAGGGCATACATGGACAGCTTTAATTGCCAAGTTTTTTCTTGTATCAGTAAAATGACCATTTAAGTGAATTGTTACACCAAGGTAACATGAATCCAACTAGTCTAATACCAGATTCTGCCGTAAATTCGTCCATCTGAAAAATCGCCCTGGGCGGTTTCACGGCTGGTGGGCCCTTTATTTGGGGTTCAAATTTTCAAAAAAATTATCATCATATATTTTTAAGGTATTTATGTTTTCATTGAAAAATCCACCTACGAAGATTTTTAACACCGGCAGTTGGATCATCCAAAACGAAAGAAACTATTGCAGAAGCTAATCTTAGATTGTATACATTTTTTTCTAGCTAGATTAAAAAGTAGACCGCGCATCTTTCTCCAAAAAAATCACATTAACAAACCTTGTGCGCCAAATACAATTATTTTGTTTCATTTTATTAGTAACGAAAGTATATTCTAAAAGAAGTTTCAAATAACAGCGAACACAACAGCATTGCTTAGTAGCGAATAATTGTGGTAGCGCAATCCTGTCATGCTGCGTTTTACAGTTGTTGATTATTACCTAGTAATGGTATAATAATGTACAAAAAATAAATTCGTTGAATTGTTATGAAATGTAAATAAATTTCAAATTTCATCGTAAGCAAATGATTCCGATCGCATTTTCAACGCTTGATGCTATAATGAATATCTGCCATGTTTTGACCTGAAATGGTGTTCTTTGACCTGATAGGTCAAATCGACAATTAACCAATGAAAACGATGGATGATGCCAACATGTTCAAATTACCATAGCTCATTTAAATATGTTAATGTTATTGAACGCAGTGCGGAAGAGATTTGCCAATGTTGTTGTCCGACCTTTTAGCTTGGATTTTGATGGGAAAGCGACATGATTTGTTTTTTAAATAAAAAAATTAGTTGTTTTAAAAAAATAAACTGAGCATTTGAAGAACAATTTAATATTGTTTACAGCAATAACAATGCTAACTCATTTACGCTAGTCCGTAGTCACAATAAACAATCAATACTAGAATAGGCCGGCGTCAATGACTACGGCAAAAATTTTAGGCATCAAAAAAGATAACACCTTAAAAAACTGCCGAAAAATCGCCTTGGGCGGTTTCTTGGACCCATTTTATTCTTTTAAAAACCTGAACTGCCGTTTAATGGCCCTGGGCAAATTTAGGGCAGAATCCAGTATTTTGTTGTTGTAGATTATGGTACCTTTCTGTTGTTTTCAATGTTCTCCTTCTAAAAATAACAATATTAGTTTTTGTCAGATTTACTTGTACATTCCATTTTTGACAGTAATTTGGAAGGTTATTTAAGGCAGTCTGTATGAATTTGCTGTATTTCTGTATTTATTGTATCAGAAGTGATACTAGAACACTAAGCATGTGACCACTTATTAGTTCTGGTAAATAAATTAAATTCTGAAACTTTCCTATTCTTCTTGTAATGTTTAAGAAGTCTGATTTAATTATTTTTGGAGATGTGTTTAGGCCAATGAAATAAATTGAAAGTCCGAGGTGTTTATGATTTTATGTGGAAGTAGTCCATTTTCATGCAAAATATAAAATATAAAGTGAAAATTGAGTATAGTGTGATGCAAATGAGCATTGCATGAAAAGGTTGTAGGAAAGTCAATAATGGTCTGTTTTTTCTTACTGACCTGTCTTGCTTCTGATCTGCTCAAATCTCCACGAGCCAATAAAACAGAGATAATATGTTCAGGATGTACATCTGGGTATTTAGTTGCTAAAGTCTGAACATAAAAAATGAACAGTATAAATAAAGATTTACATTTCTTGTCATATTTATCAAAGAAAGTTTAGAAAGAACTCCTGTGTGCTGAGAGTATTGGAGACACATTAAAATTAAGTTAAAATTTAAGATTTGCCTATCAAATCAGAAGCATTGGCAACTAATATTTGTCTGCTATTTGAGATGCACAACATGAAAACAAGATGATTCACATTAACAAAATTTATAATACATACAGAAAATACATTTCATTTTTCATCCACGGTTTTTAGTCTAATTAATTCCAGACCACCTCTGTGATAAATTCAATTTAAATCTGATTTTTTTTTTAGATATCAGAAAAGGGCTAATAATAGATAACAATTATACACGTTTTTCAACATTAAACTAATCATTATTCTACAAATTAAGCAATTATTATGTATATATTTAAGTCTGTATATTGTTTCAGGGCGCACATGTACAAAATTGTGGGAACTGTAAATTTATTATGCAAATTAGGTAATTATTATTGATGTGTATAGACCCAAAACTAATTAGATTGTCACATTGTGGTAAGGGTATATATGTACCAAGATTCCTTGAATTAAGATATTAAGTACTATCACAGACCATCTATGTACGAAGTTTAATTGAAATTATTATGCAAATTAGGTATTTAATATGATCTGATTTTTACCCAAAACTAATCAAATTTGTGCATTAGTCCAAAGCATCTATATACCAAGTTTCATCAAAATCCAATGAATGGCTCTTTAGATATCAGTGAAACAGTCGTGGAACAGCTAAAAATTAGTAATTAGGTAATTAATATGTCTGGATTTCAACCAAAACCTAATCAAATCTGCAGATTAGCCTAGAGCAACAGACACGTCTTACCGTCAATGTAACAACACACATTGGATTAACTTTTAATATAGTTGCAATATGAACTCTTATTAAAACGTGTTCCTATATAGAGTTTACTTAAACTCAATTACAATGCAATTCAATGTTTTAATTAAGTTTAACAAGTCATTGAAAATGAAACAGTCCCCGTTAAATTTGTAAAAGTTCTCTTTGTGCTTGTCATATTAAAGTGGATGGGTTGTTGTAAGCGTGTCCTTGAAACAGATTGTTTATTTACATGAAATTCGAACATATAGCAAAGATATAGCAAAGAAAAACATAGATCACAAGTAATAGCATGTCCAAGTTATCACATTTTAAACAAACAAGATGGCCGCCAGTCGGCCATATTTGATCAAATTGCAAATTGAATTGACATGCACATGTATCCATATATGACATGCTAAATATCAATGAAAATGATACATGGGTGA